CGATGGCGTCGATATACGTTCACCGTTGAGTCTCTGAGTTGCTGTGAGAGAGCGCCGACACGAGAAGGGAGAGCAGAGGAGGGGCGGAGCCAAGAGGGAGAAGGGGAGAGGAGGGAGGACAGGTGGGTGAGGATGGTGAGGATGCGAGAGAGGCCTTCCTTGCCTTCACATCCTGGCGATCTCGTGGCAGCGGCTCCTAGCCCAAACTCCCCTCTCCTGCCTCCCCCCAAAAGGCCATAAACATACATTTTCGGCGGTCCGCGCAGATGTCTTGGATCTGCGCTGGACCCCCCTTGGTGGCGCCTCCGGCGCCGCCCTCGGCGCCGCCCCCGGTAGTGGGTTCCAGCGCTGATCCAAGAAAGTCGCGCTGACCCCAAACGTTTGGCTTCACGCATTCTTGTTCTCTCCTCCAAGCCGTGGTGTGCGGGAAGCGGAGGCGGGGACCCTGGGGGGGAGAGAAGAGGCGGGGGCTGGGATGGAGGGAGGAGCAGCGAGGTGACGGTATAGGGGGGAGCTCCAACATCACCGGCAGGAGCAAAGGTATGTGATGGCAGCAGAGGAGGCGAAGGTTGGGGGGTGGTAGAGCAGTGAGAAAGCAACGGCTTGGAGGCATTTCTTCGAGGCTGAGTCGATGAAGCAGCAGCGACTGAAGCAGCTCAGACTGGAGAATCAGGCCTCCAACTGCACCGTCGGCTTGTACGCTGCTGTTTGTGAGCCACAGCTGCCCATGTGTAAAATCATTTTTTTATGAGATTGCGCCTTCGAGGCTTTTTGCATCATCATCACCATTACCATCATTACCACCGACATTATCATCAGCAGCATCACCAGCATCATCATCATCATCATCATCATCATCATCATCATCATCATCATCATCATCATCATCATCATCATCATCATCATCATCATCGTCATCATCATCATCATCATCATCATCATCATCAGTCTACTCGAGCGGTGTCTGACGTTCTGTAGTTGGGAGCGCTGGACAGACGGTGTCTTGGGGGCCACGCTCATGAGTGCCTACAGGGCAAGGTCACTGTCCGCGACTTCCAGGGTCGGCTCAAGCAGTACTGGCGCACGACCCTTGCTGGCGCCTACCCTCCGGGCGCCTGCCACAGCGCCGCTCGCGCCCTGGGGCGCGCGGCGCCGTCGGCAGCCTGGCGGCGAGATGGTGATCCACTGCTGCCCAGCCACTGGGAGGCTGAGCTCCAGCGTGCCGCAAAGCTGGGCAGCCTCCAGTCATCCCTTGACTGCCCCAGCTGCCCGCGGAAGTGGGTCCCGCTCTGGCCCCGCGACGCCGAGGGCTGGGGCCGCCAGCTCGGCCGCCCGCGGCCGCGGGCGAGGCCGGGCGCGAGGTCGAGGCCGGCCGCCCGCAGCGCTGGCCAGGCGCTCGCCCGCTTACACAGCGCCGGGCTCCCTGCGGCGCTCTCAGGCGCGGCCTAGCACGCAGGCGCGCTGCGCCGCCAGCATCCTGGCCTTCGCCACCGCCTTGTGCGTCGTCACCGACTGCTGGGTGAACAAAGACCTGCCGCTCGTAGACACCCTGCTGGAGGAGTGCTTTGAGCAGCTCTTCCTGGGGGCGGGCAGCAAGGTCGCGGCTCGCCACGCGCTGGCGGCGTTCGCCCACCGCTTCGGCATCTCGCTCCGGGCCCCCAGTGTCTTCCCCAAGGCGAAGGGTGCCCTCTCTGGCTGGGGCAAGTTGGAGCCTGACCTCACCTCGGGGCCGCTGTGCTGGGCGGCCGCGTGCCTCATGGCCGAGTACCTCGCCGAACTCAAGACGGTGCTTCAGTTTGACACCTACCCCCGCCCTGGCGAGCTGCTCGGCCTCCTAGTCCCGTGTTGCCTCTTGCCTCAGCCCAGCGCCGGCTCGGGCTATAACGAGATGGGCCTGGTCGTTGGCGCCTCCGCGGTGGTCATGGGCGACAACAACCACTCGCGGGTCACCAAGACTGGCCTGCAGGACGACACTGTGCTCATCGACAGCGAGTCCCGGGTTGGCGTCGCTGGCGCCTTCGTGGCCGTGGTGCGCGCAGCCAACAAAGCCCGACAGGGCCGCCTCATGTTCTTGCACACCTACGCGAGCTACAACCGCACGCTGAAGAAGGCCGCCGCCGCAGTCGGGCTGCTGTCCAAGGTCACAGCGCACCTTCCTCGGCACGGTGGCCCTTCGGAGGACTACCTGAGAGGCGCCCGTTCGCTCGCTGACATCCAGGCTCGCGGCAGGTGGGCCAGTGTCCGTTCTGTTCAAAGGTATCAGAAGAGCCGCCGTGCCCTCGCCTCCTTTTGTCGGCTCTCGACGGCCGTCAAGGCTGAGGCCAAGCGGGCTGAGGCTCGGGAGCTCTGCTTTCTTGCCTGGGCCTCGCGCTCGGCCCCCTGCGGCACGGACACCGGCGCCTGTTTCTCTTTCTCTTCGGCTTGCCAATGGAGTGACATGGGATTCATACTCCAGCTGCATGGGTTATTGAATTCAGGTCTGGCCAGACGATTTGATTGAGAGAGGCGCCCGCCGAAGAGAGATCGAGCGGGCGCGCGTCTCCTGTTTTCGCGGCCAACCGCCTTCGCAAGTCACCTTGGGCTGTGGGTCCGAGCTCGGCGATCGAAAAAGGAATGAGAGTCCTCGTCACGTGTGCTACCTTTTTCCCTTTAGGCTGTCGCTGCTCCGTCTCGTCAGTGGGGCCCGCACTGGTGGGGGGGGGGGCCTTTAACAACTGCGTATATATTTATGTATGTATATATATATATATATATACATATGGATACATACATGTATACATATATACATACATACACATACACATATATATATATGTTTATATGTATATACATACATTTATGCTCGTGGGCCGCATTGCGTGGGCCATGCTGGGCAGACGCGAGACTCTGTTGATGTTGTCAGTTACGTTCGCCTCTGCTCAAAGTCGGTCGCCCGAGCCTGTCGAGCTCTGAGACGGGGTACTCGGGGAGTTCCCCAGTGGGTTCAAGCCACGCTGCCCCTGCGGCCCACGTCTTGGCGTCTGCCTTGGGCGTCCGACGTTGCAGCCCCTGGTTCCTCTTGATATTGCATCGGGGTGCGCCGTCGCAAATTGCCCGTGTCCACCGTCGCCGACGTCGGTCGTCTCGCCGAGAGAGTTAGGTGCAGGCTCCATGGCGCCTTGCCGCTCGCCATCATGCCTTTCTGGGTGTTCGCGAGGATCCCGAGTTTACTGTTTTTCTCCCGCGCGGCCGCGTTCCTGGCGTACCTCGCGGGGCCCCCGTGGGTCAGGAGGGCCCCAGGGTTCTCGGGGCCTGGAGGACGTCTTCAATTACGAGAGCTGCTTGAACGTCGGGGCGGGGCCCCATGGACCCGCCGAGATGCCCGAAGAGATCTTGGAGGGGCCCGACATGAAGGTGGCCCACCAAAGTGGTCCACCTAGCAGGGTCCACGCGACGGCGCCGCCTCCTCTCCTTCGTGGACACTTTGGCTCTGGCTCTCGGCACAGGCAGGGGCCGCGGGACGCGCGGTCGACCTCGCCGGACCCCGCGCGCCGCGGTCGACCTCGCCGCGCTTCCCGCGCCCGGCGGCGGGGCGCGCGCGCTCGTGGGGCGCCGTCGGAGTTTTCAGCCCGCCCGCTGCCCCGTCGAGACCGGGCTTCTCTTCGCGGGGCCGCCGCGGCCGGGCCGGCCCCGAGCAGGAAGCGACGCCCCGCGGGCGCCTCCGCGGGGGCCGCCCGCCCCGCGACGGGACTAGGGGAACGAAAAGTAGCATGAACATAAAAATTCGGAGGTCCGAGTTTTTATGTTCATGCTACTTTTTGTTCCCTTAAGGACGCTGTCGCGCCAGATCGGGCGAAGAGCATTATGCACATGCACCGATTCTGGCAGGGCCCATCCTGGACCCATGATCGGTGCACACGCCTTCCTGGCCGAGGTAGGAGGGCGTGTGTACCGATCCTGGGCTCAGGATGGGCCCGGCCAGAATCTGTGTATGTGCATAGTTCTCTTTCCTCTACCTCCCCCCCCGTGGAGCAGATCTTGGCTGTGTTTGGCGCCTGCATCGAGCAGGCTCCCCCGGACGCACGGCTGTAGACAGTCGCGCTATAAGCAGAGGTCCGGAGCCAGATCCCCCCCCCCTCCCCCCCCCCTTCCTCCCAATGCCGAAACGCCGAATGAGAGAACGCTCACCCCCCCGGGCGTCGCCAGAGGCCCTCCCCGCGGGCGTCGCCGTCGGATCCGTCGAGCGGCGCGCAGGCGCTCGACGCGGTCGCGACGGCCTTCCTGGCGCACCTCAGGAGGGGAAAGAACACAGACACAATTCCACGCCGGTCGGTGAAAGTAGGTATTGCTGAATTCCCAGATCCCAATCTATTTCAAGCGCCTTCCTACTTCAAGAATCATGCTGTTATTCTCCGGGAGAACATGGGCCCAATCTACTATATCCGCCTTCCTATTTCATGTTTCTACCTACTTCTTCCGACCGACGTGTAATCGTCGATCCCCAGGAAAATATGGGAAAATATGAGACTTGGGCGGGAAGACAGAAACCCTGAAAGCATGGGAAAATATGGGGAATCCTGTTATTTGTGTGTATTTATTTGTGCGTCCTTGGGCCCCTTGAGCACCTGGTCATGGGCGGCTTCGACGGGGCGATGGGGAGGGCCGCGATGGCGGCGATGCGCCGTTCACTCCCAGACATCCGACGTCTCGATGTTCTCGAGACGCGGGCCCCCGACCTCCCGACCACTTCCCTGGCACCAGTCATTTTACCCCGAGTCGTCTCCCGACGGTCCCGAGGCCCGGCGAGGGCTCCGAGAGGCCAAGAATTATGAAAACCCCCGTCTCGATTTGTTCGAGACGCCCGATGTCCGGGCTGCCCGCCCCGGGCCCCCCGCGCTCCGCCCTGCCGAGGGCGTGCAAGGCGCCGGAGGGCCGGGAGAAAAGCTTTGGCCGCCCCGCGTGCGGCTGCCCGACTTCCCGACCTGCAGCGCTGGCGATCGCGGGCGGCGTGATCTCGGTCGCACAGCTGCCCATCGCCCTTGGCATCGCTCGGACGTGTGCATTTTTCCTTCGGCGAGGGCCATCGAGGAGCATCCTTGATCATTTGGCGACAAAAAACCACGCACGAAACCGAAAAACCACAGGGAATGGACGTCCGAGCGATGCCCATCGCCACGTTCGTGCTCCGCTCCTTCGCCGCCTGCCCGCGCCCCTCGGAGGCCTCTCGGCCCCGCGGCGACTCGCTCGTGCCCTCGAGCCCGCTGGCGGGCAAGGAGTGCGGCGAATAGGGCCTGGTGCCCCACCCGAGCGAGGATGGCCGCCCCGGCAAGACGGGGATGACCCACGACAGCGTCGCCCTGGACCCGGTCGGCTGGCTGCGGGTTGCCCCGAAGCTCGCCCGTCCCGGCGGCATGGCGCCGCGAGTCTTCGCCGCCACGGAGGCGCGCGACGCCTTCGACCAGGCGGTGGGGCGCCTGGGCCCGGAGGCGTAGCCCTCCCTGTACGTCCTGCGGCACAAGGCGACCAGCGGCGACCTCCTGGCGGCTCGGCGCTCGCTCGCCGAGGTGAAGGGCCGCGGGGGACGGGCCACCGATTGCCCCCTACGGCGGTGCGCCGAGAAGCACAAGCTGCAGCAACAGATGAACGACTTGCCCGACGATGCGATGGCCTTTGGTCTGCTGGTGGATGCTCGACTGGCACGGCCGATCAAGTCAGCTGCCTTGGGAAAGCCGTTCCCATGGCCTGCCCCAGCGAGGCAGGCGGCGTCGTCGCGCGAAAAAGTGAAGCCCTTTCTGGCGACCAAGTGGACGGCGATCTGACCCACCAGCTGGCCGTCGCTCTGGTTGTCGGCGCGCTTTCGGTTTCCGGCGCCACTTTGGTTTTCGGCGCTCCTTTGGATTTTGGTGCTTCTTTGGCTTTCGGGACATTTTTGGTTTTCGGCGCCGCTTTGGTTTTCGGTGCCCGTTCGGTTTTCGGCGTTTCTTTGGTTTTCGGCGCCCACTGGTTTTCGTGCCTTTTCGGTTTTCGATGGCTCTTTGGTTTTCCGCGCTCTGTTGGTCGCCCTTTTGGTTTTCGGCGTTTTTTCCTTTAGCCAAGGGGAAGGGGGCGCCCAAGCCCCTCCCCCTTTAGCCTTTAGCCCAAAAGGAAACGGGGGGGGGGCTCCAGCAGGGGAGCTTCAAAGGGGGGGAGCTATGCCCCCCTTCCCCCTTCGAAAGGGGGGGAGGGGGCCAGGTAGCCCCCACGGGGCGGAGAGAACAGGGGAGGGGGGGGGAGCCTCAAGCAGGGGAGGCTCAAGGGAGGGGCGGATAGCTAAGCCCCCCCCTTGGGACAGGCAGGAGGGGGGAGCTTCCGGAGTGCGAAAGTGAGAGGGGGTGGGGAATAGCGGCCGAGGGGCGGAACAGAAAGGAGGGGGGAGGGGGGCTTCCCGGCAGGGCAGGTCCAAGCGGGGGGGGGCAGCTCAGGCCCCCCCCCCCCCCCACTGGGAGTGCGCCACCGGCGTGCTCTCTCGAAGCGCTGTAGATTCGCGGTGTGATTACAGTGGGGACCCCATGCCAACAAACACCCTGCTTGCCTCTAGGGTGCCCTCGATTTCTTGGGTTGCTATTGTTTTGCGATGGAAAGCGTGACGTTCCCACACCAAAAGTCGCTGGACGTCCTGGGGTCTCAGGGTTAAGTTTTTGTGGAAGGTCTCTTGTGGTCGGGCCCTTACTGTATGATTTGGCTTTTGTTTGTTAATCTGGTCGGCGCGTCGTCCAGAAGTCCCGCTAGGCGACACGCCGCCGAGGCCAAGCGGCGGCTGGCGGGCGTCTACGGCGTCGTCGTCGTCGTCGTCGTCGACGGCGGCTGCGTCGGCGCCGCGGCGTCGGCGCCGGCGTCGCCCCCCAAAAGTCGGAGGGACGCGCGGGGAGGGCGCGCGGCTGGCGCCTGGCGGCGGCGGCGGGCGGCGGCCGCGTGCGGCCACGAGCGCGCCAGGCCTACCTGCTGAGGCAGGCGGAGGAGAAGAAGAGCAGGAAGCAGGCCTCGGGCGCCGCGGCGAGCGACCGTGGGGGGGTAAGAGGCCGGGCGGGAGGAGGAGGAGGAGGAGGAGGAGGAGGAGGAGGAGGAGGAGGAGGAGGAGGATCCATTTTGCAGGCGGTCCTGAGCAGTGGTGTGGAGGTTGCGGGAAGTGAGAGGATGCTCGGGGTTGACGGAGGAAACGTCGCGTTTGGTTGTCATGCTGCGTGCCGTTCTACATTCCATCCGCCCCGCGCCATTCGAGCTCGACTAGCAGAACGCGCTGCACTGTTTAACTTGGCTGAGGCCGCCTTGGCTTGCACTCGGCCGTGCTGCTGGGCCGTCTGCAGTTCTTGCCCGACTTCCTTGTCACATGTCTCTGTCTCTGTTGGTCCTTCCTTGCCACTTTGATGTTTTTAGGTTGCCGTGTGGGCCTGACCCCGTCGCAGGTGGTGTTGCAGGTGGTGCTCGTTTTAGCATGTCCTGGGTTCGGGGAACGAGCAATGACATAAGCATACTTACCCCAGT